TTGGTGAAAACACTGCATTCTACCATACAAACTTTACTCCTTCTGTGAAACATGATGGTTGCTGCCTTTGGTCAGTTCAACTTGCCATCATTGATGCATCTCTGAATTCTGAATTTACCAGCAAATTCTACAGGAAAGTGTCAGGGTAACTGAAGCTCAAGAGAACATGGGTCATGCAGCAAAACAATGACCCAAAACACACAAGACACAATGACCAAAGAATGGTTAAAACTGAAGAAACTTAATGTTTTGGAATGGTCACATCAAAGCCCTAACCTTAATCCTATAGAAGGGTTTTGAAAGGACCTATAGTAGACATCTCCTATAAGAAAGTCCATCCCCATCCCTGAGTTAAAGCTGTTCTGTAAGAAGGAGTTGTTTAAAACTCTTCAAAGCCAATGTGCAGGACTGATCAAAAGTTATTAGAAGTGTTTAGTTGCAGTTTTATGCTACCCAAGGAGGGCACACCAGATATTGAAAACAAAGGTTCACATACTTTTGCCACACATGTGACTTTGTACCATTTTCCTCAATAAATAAATAAATGAGTGAAATGTCTTTGACACCTTTCTTTAATTGGGTTCTCTATCTAATTTTAGAGCTCAGTGAAGAACAGGTCAGCTTTTAGACCATATTTATGTGGACATATTGAAAATTCAAAGGGCTTCACAAACTTTAAGTACCACTGTATATAAGACTTTCAAAATCAGGTATCAATGATTTCTACAGAAAGAGAAAACAATCTCATACAGAAATTCATAACAATCTCATTCTATAATGGCTATACTGCATTTCCACCTTAGTGTTCATATCATCACAAATTAAGGCCTTTGAAAATTAAACAAAATCTTTTAACAAGATGACATTTTTTGGTGAAACTAAACAAGAAAGGGAATTATTTAGAAAATAATCTGAAGTATGTTCTATAAATTAAATACATGTGGATTACTTAAAGCCAATATCATGATTGAAGATAACTTAAATGATTAGGTAATTTAGTTCACAAATCATATTATGAACCAATAATTCTCTGCACTACATCTTACAACATCTTGAATCTCCAAAGACCTATGCAAGGGTCCTCTTTGTAGACTTTAGTTCAGCATTCAACACCATCATTCCAGACATTCTTTTAACTAAGCTAAACCAGCTAATGGTACCTGAACACACTTGTACGTGGATCATAAGCTTCCTAATAGACAGAAAACAGCAGGTGAAGCTAAGCAGAATCACATCAGATACCTGTACAATTAGCACAGAGGCCCCACAAGGCTGTGTGCTCTCTCCACTTCTCTCTCTATACCAATGACTGCATCTGAAACGATCCATCTGTTAAACTACTGAAGTTTGCAGATTACACAACAGTGATTGGTCTCATTCAAGACAATGATGAATCCGCATATAGATGGGAGGTTGAACAACTAGCCTCGTGGTGTGACCAGAACAATCTGGAATTGAACACGCTCAAAACGGTCAAAATGGTGGTGGACTTTAGGAGAAACCCTCCCATACTACCACCTCTTATAATACTAGACAACACAGTATCAACAGTAGAGACCTTCGCATTTCTAGGTTCTACCATATCTCAAGACCTAAAATGGACACCTAACATCAAAGAAGTCATCAAAAAAGCACAACGAAGAATGTTCTTTCTGCACCAACTCAGAAAGCTCAAACTGCCAAGGAGCTGCTGATACAGTTCTACAGAGGAATTATTGAGTCTGTCATCTGCACATCTATAACTGTCTGGTTTGGCTCTGCAACCCAACAAGACAGACACACTTCAGAGGATAATTAGAACTGCAGAAAAAACAATTACTACCAACCTGCCTTCCATTGAGGACCTGTATATTGCACGAGTCAAAAAGAGGGCTGTGAAAATATTTACAGACTCCTCGCATCCTGGACATAAACTGTTTCAACTCCTACTCTCAAAACGACACTATAAAGCACTGCACACCAGAACAACTAGACACAAGAACAGTTTTTTCCCAAACGCCATCACTCTGCTAAACAAATAATTCCTCAACACTGTCAAACTATTCACTAAACCTGCATTACTATTAATCTCATCGTTCCTATCACCCATATCCTCCCACTTATGACTGTACGACTGTAACCTTGTTGCTGGTATCCTTACAATTTATATTGACTGTTTCCTAATGTAATTTGATTGCTTGTTTGTTCCCTATGACTATCATTAAGTGTTATACCTTATGATTCTTGACAAATGTATCTTTTCTTTTATGTATACTGAGAGCGTATGCACCAAGACAAATTCCTTGTGTGTCCATTCTATTCTGTTCTGTTCTGTTCTGTTCTGTTCTGTTCTGTTCTGTTCTGTTCTGTTCTATTCTATTCTATTCTATTCTATTCTATTCTATTCTATTCTATTCTGCACATTAACCTGCTGCATTTATTAATCTTTTCAGCCTTAAACATAAAGCAAGAAAACATAAAGTTTTCAGCCATAATATAAATAAATAACTTTTTTACAAATTGGGTTTTGTTTTATATCACTCTTTGTAGTGCAATTTAGTTAACCATCAAAAAATTAAACACAATCTCTTTTCAAAGTAGTTCAGTTGAAGAGTTCTGAAATTCTTTGTGATTAAATCTCATAGTGTTGCCACCTCAATTGATGTATCTTATAAGTTTGATTCGATACATAAAGACAACAAAAATTAAACTCACAAAAAATAATTAAATTATCAGATAAAGAATTACAGAAAATTTAACAATAACAGATCATTAATTCTTGCCATATCTAACCTTAGGTAGTACTACAAAAATCTGTTTCACTTTGGAATGGAAAAGTGTCATTTCTTAAAAGCTTGTTCAACTTTTACTCCATGAAAATATTTTTTTTTCCTACAATGAAAGTCTGAAGAAGCCCCCAAACATCTAGTTTGCTGGCCAATACTTACTTAACAAGGTTTTAGGTTACACACAAGGAGACATATTCCACTGAAATCAATGGAGCTTAGTTAATATATACTGAATTAGTTTAGAACAGCTGTTTTGCTTTCTTAGAATTTCCCATTTTATTGCCCTAACACTGAGAAAAGAGTGAAAGAGAAAGAGAAAAAGAGAAAATATCTTTCTAGGGATAAAAGCAAATATATTTCTGCAGTATCTAACTTAAGCCAATTACAGTATATTCTCATACTAGATAAAAACATTCTAATGGAATGTTTGGTTGGTTCTTTATTTGAACTCAAAGCACTCTTTGTTCCCTTTGCTTCGAACAAGCCAGAATTGTGTTCTTATAGGGTTAAAACTAAGGAATGTGACAGTTCTCCATGTGCAGTCTATAGACCTAACTTTTCTTCTTTCCCTAGTGGGACTCTAAACTACATGAAAACAATACAGCCCACAAACTACTATTCTGGCTCTCAAAAGTTTTGTTCATTTCATATAGTGCTATTTATACCAGGATAATTTTATTATTATTTTATACATAGCAATTACTGCAAGTGTGTTGTAGGTTTGTAGTGAACACAAATAGAAATAGGCCTTTGCTGGTTTTACTACATACTGACAGTTACCTAATAAATGGATGATTTATGCTGGATAGTTTGCTGCTCTCATAAATTAATCTTCTGAATCAGGAAATGACATTTGTACATCTATGAGTCTAAAGCTGTGTCTTATCCATTCTATTACTTCAAATACTTTGGATGAAAGACTAAACTAAAACCCTGGCTAGTGAACAAAATCTGTACCAAATTATTGAAGTGTGTGTTATGAATAAATATCTTTACATATAGATATATGTCAACACAGGTGCTAAATAAAGGTAATCTGATAGGACTGAATAGATGAAAGTGCCAAATAAAAACAATTTAATAGTTGAAATAAAATGCATTATCAAAAACAACTGACCAAAAAAAGTGAAAATCAAAGGAAAAAGTCAAATGAAACTGTGACAAGTGAATGTAAATATCCATCCTGGGTTACTGGATAAATAACCTAGGAATGAGCTTTTAAAAGGATAACTACAACAAGTCAATAAAGATGCATGGCTGAAGAAAAAAAGAGGTAGGGCAGTATGGAAAATAATGAGTCTCCATTCTCCAGGTAATAACTTCAGAACTGCTGGATAGCAAATTAAATGTGTAAAAATATGTGTTTTTCACAACTGCTTTCAGTATGATCCAAACATGCATACGTCGTTTTTACAGCAGTACAGATGAATTTAGGACAAAAAAAACCGCATTTAGCAGGTAGCTTCCAGAAAGCCTTTGAGCAAGTCCTATTGCCAAGAAAAACAAGGAACAGGCAATCTGATTAAAAGAGGTCTAGGTTAGTGAAGAGTGTAGCCTTTGTATTACAAAAGAATACCAGACAAGCTGACTATGGTGGAATACTCTGGTGCAATAACATAAAGTCTTCCTTTGCTCAGTTTTCATAATCAGTGGACCACCAGCTATTTCATCGCATTGTACCTCTGTTGTCTTCTCTATTTGTTTCTAAATTCCCCCCCCTTTTTTTTTTCTTTCAGTCAACACCACAAAAAAATGGCTGTTTTCTACCACTTGCGCACAAAAGTGGCTTGTTTTATTCCAATTGCTATGTTTTCAGAGCCGCACTTTTAAGTTGCTGGAGAACTGTAGTTCACCGGACTATATTCTCAGCGTTGAGAATTCCGTTTGGCGGAATAAGAATATCTACCACGGTCACGGAAGAGTTCTTCTCTCGAAGAGCTGATTGCTGGAAGTCCAGGCAGGCGCCCACCCGAACGGTTGAAGTCCCCCATAACTAGGTGGATGCCCAGGCGCTCAGATCAGGCGAGCCTCGACGTCCTGTGACCCAAAGCATCGCTCCCGAGAAGGCGGGAAAGCCACTTCGCAGGACCGTATCTCGGAGAAGCGCGACCCACTCGTGACACTTCGCTTAGCCCTTCAGAGGCTGAAAGCCCTCGAGCCCCGCACCCACCTGCTGGCCGACCTACCGCGGTTACCTCCCCTTCCCCCAGACAGCTGCCTCTGGGAACTTACCTCCTCCAAGCGGAGGGAGCGCCTTGCCCCGGCCAAGTTCTGGTGTCAGCACGGGAATGAAAGAGGGCTGCCGGTGGGGTCGGTGACCGTCTCCCGCCGAGTACGACGACTCCCTTACATCAAGATTTAGCTGCGGACGGCGGGGGCTCCGGTCCCCAAGAGCCTCTTCCCGCCTCTAAGCATGGCTGGCCAGCGCAACTCCGCGCCCCCCCTTAACGCCCAAGTCCAGCTCTCCAACAGGGGCGCCCGGTCAGGCATCCAGAGGCGAAGAAGGTGCTGGCACGCCCCACGCGTGTGTTTACCCAGCGAAGGCTGCGGGTGGGTGCGAGCCGGCTCCATTCAAATCCACGAAAGTTTGGCCATTGGCTTCAGTGGGAGGCGCCTGGGGCACCCAGAAGCTGACGGCCTCTCAGCCACCACCATTCCTGTGGCTAGAAAGGGGAAGGGGCTCGAATGCGCAGCGCCGGCAGGCAAGAGATCGTTTTAAAGTGTGGGTCCTAATTAATGAGTTCCGGGAACATGAAAACCAACACCATCATTTAAAAAAAAAAAAAAAAACACAACCCCACTCATGGAGCAGATTACCTTCAAAATCCCTTTTGTCCAGAAGATAAAGAAGCAAAAGTGAGGTACTTAGCTCTTCGGTTGTTAAGAAGTCTGGAGTGATGAAAAGAGAAGTTTCAAGAAGTTTCAAGAAGTGTCCGCAGATCTAGACGCCGAGCTTTTCGGCTTTAGATCTCAGAGCAGGAACGGTCGAAAAACAAGGACTGCGGAGGATGAGGCTGGACCGCGCATCAACATTTGGTGTTAATTCGCAGTGACGAAAAACTAACCCCTAGCGGACGCCCAGTCTTCGGACTGACGGCTTAGGATCACGCTGACGGAACGTGAACACGGGTCAAATCCGGATAATGGAGACGTAGAAGGCGATTCCGTTTGCTCCCTCGGATCAGATTTTAAACGCCTCGCGAAATAAGCCGGCAACACGTACAAGCCGCTCGATTTGCAAAGTATGAATTTCGGCAGTGTGAAAACCCGGAATCAGAAAAGTTTTAACAGCCGCCAATCCAAAACCGATAGCATTTAGAAAGCGGGGGAGGGAGGGCTTACCGTTCACCCTCTTGTCCCGCGTTGGTTCCCATTGAATTTTCTTGGCAGAACACTTTTGTTCAATGAGTCCTATTCGTTTGCTGCTGCTCTCAGTCCTGGGCTGAAAACCTCTTTCCCCCCCTTTCAGCTCTGAGATCCCAGATTTCCTACTGAGATACAGAGCGTGCCAAGGAGAAACTTGACTACTTTATTTATATATATATATAAACAATAATGACTAAAAGCATCAGCACTTTTTCTGGAAAAAAGCAGCACATTATATAATGTATTAATTGGTTGCTATTAATGCACTTTTCTTGAGCATAGCACACAGAAGTCTGATTGTGAGCAAGGAGTGTTTTCAATGAAAGTAGAGTTATTTTAGCTGCAGACGTGTTTACATTTCTGTGGTTTAGTCTATAACTTTCTCTTTTTCTTGCTTCAGAATTCTGCTCTATGAAGCAAAGCCCTTAGCTCCCAGACATTCCAAAAGTCTGCCAAAATAACAGGGGGGAAAAGAAGATTAAAAAAACGCTATGCATACACAGAGACCCCCAAGTCTGGGTCAGGGGGATCGCTATAGACCCCTTTTCTCTTTATTCAGTTCAAAAACCTTCAGGGCTTCATTTCCTGTTTCTAAGGGCTCGGTGAATAGGGAATACAGCAGGTCTATTAATATTGATTTTAGATACTCTGTAAACTAGATCTAATGCTAAGGACGGCAGTTGACAATATTGGACAATAGCATATTCTATAAAGAAAAAAATCATAAATATACTCGTGTGTGTGTGTGTGTGTGTGTGTGTGTGTGTGTGTGTGTGTGTGTGTTGAGCTGTTTATTGTGCTGAAGAATGGATCTGAGACACCTGTAAGGCTCCTGAACTGTGTATCCTTCTTAAGTAATGACCTGGTGCAAAATTTGTAGAGTTTCACTACTTTCAATGTACTATGTTACCAAAAACTGGACGAAAATCTAATGTACCTTATGTTATCATAGCTACTAGCTTAAAGGACCTCTAATTTCTTGATGGGCTCTATAATTTAAAAAGTAAAGCTTTGCAACCAGTCCTCAAATAATTTTTTGAATTACAAATAAATCTTCCATAGAAGAGCAGCTGGTTCTTCGGCTCCTGTACTCTGTATTCTGTACCATTACATTAGTTGATGGAACAATGGTATAGAGGAGAAGCCTTGGACATTTTGTTGCTGAGCCTAGGGCTTTGGGTGTGTAGTTGAGTCTTTATCAGAGTTATTTAAATTGTACAGATTGGATTCTTTAATCTTGGCTGCTGTATGTTATTTACTATTTTGTTCTGATTTTTTTTTCTGATTTTTATTTATTGTTAGTCACTGGCTCATGATGGTTGTAAAAATTAAATAAACATTTGTTGAATAAATAGATAAATATGGAATACATGAATCATTAAGTAAACATCAGCCCTGGTAAGGAAAGTGAGTGAGAATGAAAGTCAAGATAATCTCATCTTGATTCTGGTTGATATAAGAGGGGGCAAAGAGAAATTGTAATAAATTTCTAATATTCTGTTATTATATCCTACATCTACTTTATTGATTTATGATATAATAACAGAATCTTGGTGTTCCAATTATCTGTTTTCTGACCTGCCTTATATTGAAGGACTGACATGTAGGAAGGTAGAATAAATCCTAGATACATGATCCTATTTTCTACTTGAAATTTATTACATTTCTTTCTCTTTTAAGTGGGCTAAGTATTCAGTATAATCTGGAGAGTATTAAGGTTTTTTAAAAAACTTTTTTGAATTATTTGATTTTACTTTGGGTCTTAATTTAAACTTTCAAGCAGTTCAGATCTACCTGCATAAATCCCGAATTTTGCAAATTTTACATTCAGATATTATGCATTGTATGTCATCATTGCTTTCTCAATTTTTTTCACACCAAATTGGCTTAGAGACATCACTAAGGTCAGTCTAGGTAGTTATTTATACATACAAGGTAAATAGATAGAGGACAGGCAGGATTCCTTCACCATTAAATTTGTTGCAGTCAGAGTAGATATAAGAATGAAGGAAAAATTAAGACAAACTATTAATGGTATTAGATATGCAGGCAGAAGCATCAATTTCCATTATCCTACAACAGATCCAAGAAAGGCTCCACATTTCTACAGTCTCTTCAGATACCTAATCCCTCTGACTCAAAACTGCTTCTTCATTTCACACCTTTTATATCCAATGCCTTTTTAGCTGTGAACTTTTTGTGCCTTGATAAATATTTCCTTAACCATGAGATTTTTAGGCATTAAGGGATCTCATTTGAATCAATGTCCAGCACATATTCTTGGTATTGGGTTAAAAGTAGGTCAATTGAATTGTCATTTTCAGTGATAAAATGATGTGATAAAGAGATTAAAAAAATTAAACAATGCATTTTCATATACCTGTGTGGCTTTCAAAATACTTCAGAAAACTGGAACTCTGATTAATTCCAATGATAGAGAGATGACAGATGATGACAGACAGACATATAGATAAACTGTGTAATTTAAAGTAAAACAGAAAAGTCAAAATTAACTTGAGGGTTTCCTTTTTATTTTTATCATGATTATGGGATATTCAAGTTCAGTTGAACTACTCTATTATTGTGTTAAAAACAAGAGGAACTGACTATTAACTTCATGAAGAAGAGGTCCTAAAGTATCCACAAGGATGTGCAATAATGCTGTCTCTAGAACTTAGGACTTTAGAAGCTATCACCAAATGTCAGGTTTCTATTTCCATTATTTTTACTCACGGCTCATCCATATCTATATTAGGGAAAGATACGCCCCTTTCACCCAGTAAAAAAGACTGTAGAATGACTTGCCTATTGGTGTCATCTCCTAATAATAGTTTAAAGATGGAAAAAATAAACTCTAAACAAAAATATTATTTGTTAATATCTTCCAAATATCTTATTGAAGGCACTTTTAATTCCATTCCATTTTGTTTAAATATCATATTTAAACCTATTCTGAATGCTAGGTACTTTCTGCTCCAAATGCTCTGCAGAATATTTCTGTTTCAAGATTTTACCCCTAAAAAGTTATCATTATTAAGCATTTCTATAAAAAAATAAAGGGAAGGAAGAATAAAAAAATCTCTTCAGAAGATGTTTTATATTAATTTAAGTATTTGTTGCTGGATAACATCAGGCTGCCTCTCAATGAAATACCCTATATGGGCTGCCACACTTGCTAAGTATAATCCCCTCTTTCTTTTGAAACTCTATAAAGCAATCTTTAAAGATTTAAATCCTCCAATCTGGAGATTTAATTGCTTCATTTATAGTTTTTTAAGAAGGCCTTGTAAAATTCAGAATTTTGGATATTTTAAAGATAGTGTGGTTGTTCACTGTGGATGTAAGAACTGAAAGTTGAAGCAATCCACTGTCATAAAGACTATTGATTCAGTTATGAAAGGCACTGCAGGATAACTTCTGCTTCTTATTCTGCAAGTTTTCAGAGCATAAATGTCTTTTTTTTATAATACTTTATTGATTTTTTAAAAAAGTTTTACGTGTAAAATCAAATGTCTTGATTTTATGGCTTCCATACTTGTTCGATATCAAAATAAATAGTGCTGGCATAGTAAGTTTATGCTAACGAGGGAGTGAATGGTTCCATTTTAGATACATAATGAAAAATGATTACTATACCAATAGAGTTCAGTCTACATTACTCATAAATCCAGCATCAAGAAGGTTTTTGAATTTGACAGCAATAAGTAGGACAGAACCTAAAAGCTTATCTACTCATTTTAACTTTTGTTATCCATTGATTAGATTAATATATAGAAAAACAACATGATACTCACAAACAATAAGTGTTACTTTAGAATTAGACTTTTTAAAAATTGGATGTACTCCAACAGTGACTAGATATTGTTATTCAAATGTCAGGTGTCTGTCCAGCAGCAAGCCGCAGATACCATCCTCCTTGGAGGACTTAATAAAACATTTCTAAAACCAAGAATATCAATATGCTATACAAAAAATTAACTTCCTTTATTACAATTGTTTATTCATTTACAAATTAACATTACATGATAGAATAAGAAATGACTAAAATAAGGTAACATTTCGAGAGAATCCAATGGGGACATATTCACAAAGGAGGAATGTTTATATGATTGAATATTATGATCTCTATTCTTTCTAATCAAGAGGGACAATTGGGGGAATCCATTTTTTTTCCCCATATCAACCATTGGGGGGAGAGGATTCTAATTTGATTGAAAGAGCCAGTTTACTCAGATAAGATGTAAAATATTCTAATCAATCTCCCTCTATTGTAGACAGTTAGCAAATGTTGTCTTAGTAAAGATCAGAAACCTCAATTCTTCAAAACATTAGTACAGACTTGTCCTCTGACTATAAGGACACTGAATTGTCACACTCTTAGTCTGGGAATGCTTTAGCCAGGATAGCACAGAAAGATGCTGAAGTATCTGAGTATAGCAATTTATATTGCCTCCTATTCTGTGTCTTCTTTTGGCATTATACAGGATATTATGTTTGAGCATTGTGGCAAACTGAGTAACATTACACATTTGCATTACAAATTACAAGAGGACCTAAATTGAAATATAGATTTTTTTTTATTATTAAAGAAGTCATTTGTTGCCATTTGTCATCTAGTTGTTTTTTTATCGAGTACATCGTTTTAGAAAATCAGATACATTGAGCAGAGAAGGCATCTGGTGGTGCTCAAATACATTCCCTATATGTCCTTTAGTATGCAAGGTGAGATCATCAGGAAACTTTTCCAGGAGTTATCTCCAAGATGATCAGTATAATAGTTTATCTACCTCTAAAGTCTTAAGTACCTGTAAGTGTTCTAAATTTAGATACATCTTAATCTGCAAATGGC